TTATATATATCAAATATTTAGCTGTTCAAACATTATTAACTTGTAGACAATCTACTGATTGACATTATATCATACTTGATCGTTCCTGTAAAAATGGCATGCATTTTCATGTAAATTTATGTTTATATGAAAATATACATTATTATTATTAATAGCCACACTGTTAACGAAGGACGGAAAGAAACTTACGCCGTAGAGCAAGAAAGCCATGGCTAGCAGACCTGATCTCTATGGCAGGCCGCTCATTCTCCACAAAGTGGAAGAATCACTAGCTCCCGATCCCAAGATCGGGTTCGAGCATATCCTTAACTCGGTCAAGCCCCCCTTAGAAAAGCTACTACCGAAAACCGTATCAGACATAACCATACACAGGTTGTATAGAATCGGCCAAAAGCCTGACTCTACAGCAAATCAGCTGGTATGCCCTCTCAAAGTCGTATTAAACTCCAGCGAAGAGAAAGATGCCATTCCAAGCGACCATCAAATTCTTAAAGGATCAGGCATGTTCATCCATGCCGACTTATGCCTAGCAGACCGTGTGAAAAGGCATTCTGTGGCTCTAGAATTAGACGAACGATGCCGAAGCGGAGGAAATAACCTTATGATTAAGGGTTTTCAGGTTGTCGAAATTCGAAGTCTGATGATCCCGAAACCTCTGTGGATAGGCCGCGGAAGCACCAAACTGGATTGACAGTTTGCAACACAAATGCTTGCAGCCGGATGAACAAACGGACTGAGCTAGGTAATCTGACAGACTCCAGCAATCTGGATGTTACTGTCATCACATGGACATGGTTCACATCCGATGTCACTGATGACGAAGTTAACCTGCCAAACTCCGACTAAACTGTAAAGGAGGTGGCGTTGTCCTCTAACTCAAGTAATGCTTAACCTTGCGTATCATCGGAGCTCTCACAAAAGTGAGTCGTCCGGACTTCTACGCTGTAATACTTGACGTTGACAATTGGACTTCTACGCGTGACTTAAATGCATAGGCCAAGATATTGACCTCACTGTTATGTAACGAAGTCCCGACTGCAGTGCAGACGACATCCTAATCAAGAGGCTAGGCTCCTGGACGTCGAAATGTCGAAGTTTTGTAGTCAGCGACTTCAATGCCTCAAAAATTGACTGGACAAGCCTTACGTCGCCATCTCCAGACCGATTAAAATCTTCTAGAATCCGGCATTTCGCTAGCCTTAATCCAACACGTCATGAAGCCCACGCTCTATGACTCGCAGCACCCCTCTTCAACTCTGGACATAATGTTCTCCCATTGTGAGGATGTGGACTTCGTAAAACATCTTCCTCCCTTACGAAGAAGTGATTGCGCTGGCCTTGCTTTCAAGTTCACAGCAGCAGTACCGTTGGCCAAAACACCAGCTCTACCAAGCGTTTGGAAACCTGATATAGAGCAATTGTCCCAGCAGCCAACTCGGCGATCTGGTACACACACCCGGAGTCCCAAACAGAAGCCAAATGGAACAAGTTTAAACAACTTTAAGCCCAAGTAACTGGTATGCCTCAAAGGGTCGATAACATTGGCCTTTTGGATAAACCGAGTGATCCGTAAATTACTCAGACATAAACATAAATACTGGCATCTGCTCACCACAATTGGGTCTCCTATAACCAGGAAATTATAAAAACCGCTAGGAATAAAGCTATTGCAGAAATCCACAATCAGGGATGATGTTTCAAGCACATATAGTTCAAAATGCAATGGCGAAACCTAAGAAAATTTTCTCGTACATGAACTTCAGGAACAAGGCGGCCAATGGTGTCTCAAACCTGACTGTTTACAATGAAACAGTCGAAGAAGATCAAGAAAAATCAGAAACATGTCACACTACTTCTCCTGATAATCTACACCCAAGGCTTCTCAAATAGCTACCAGCTCACATAGCCGGCCCACTAACCACGATCTTCAAACTATCTTTCCTGAAGGGAGTGTTACCACGTTTCTGGGGAGACGCCGTAGTAACCCCTAATAACAGAAAAGATCTTCAAACTACATGCCAATTAGTTTCAACAGCATTTTAATCAAAACCGCAGAAAGAATTATCGGTAAAAGTATCATGGCATATCTGGAAAACAACATCTTGTTATCCAGAGCACTGTATGGCTTCCAAAGGAACCTTTCATGCCTGTTAAACATCCTCACTGCAAGAGTAAGCTGGATCAAATCAAGAGACAACAGTAGACCCGTCAATTCCGTCTTCATAGACTTCAGCAAAGCCTTCGATAAAGTTCCTCACAAAAGACTGCTTATGAAGTTGGAAAGTCTTGGTATCAAGGACAGATTACTACACTGGATCAGGGAATTCTTCATAGCGGGTTAGGATCAACTCGAAACTCCCCTCCTGGTCAGCAGTGCGTAGCGCAGTGCCACAATACACGGTACTCTGACCACTTCTATTTATTTTGTTTATCAACGAGTCATGTCTGCTCACCCCTTCCTCTATAGTCCTATACGCAGATGACTTAAAAAACTGGAGAGAGCTGAAGAGCAACAGTGATACGCTCACGTTCTAAGAAGACCTCAACAAATTTTCAGAGTGGTTCAGAGAATGGATGCTCCCGATCATTGTAGCGAAGTGTGCAACCATGTGCATCGAACATGCAAGCATCAGACCCTACGAACTAGAGGGAATAACACTTCCATCAGTTCAGACTCACTTGGACTTGGGTGTCGTAGTCAGCCACGATTTAAAAACTACAGCACATCGTCATGCGGCGGCTGCACGTAGTTTCAGGTCCTTATGTGCGATTCTCAGAGCCTTTGATAGAATAACCATATGTCAAAGTAGTTGAAGAATAAACGATCAATTCATGGTTGTTTGCTGAAACCCAACTCCATATTTTGGCGGGAGTCATCGAACTGCAGTCACGTTCTATCGTTCGCTGTTTGTTAGAAGACAGAGAAAAACTATCAGAAATTTTGTGTACAATAACCTTGTGGTTGGTTCTGTATTGGCGCAAGAATATAGGATTCTTGAATCACCTATTTGTGTTCTAGTTTTTCGCGTTGGTTATTGACAATAGTTTCTGAAAGTCTTCTATGAACAGAGTTAAGTCCAGGGTAGTTAGACCTGGACATTGACACCATAGATATGTTCATCCCCTTATATACATCTCTGGTGACGTCAAGACTGGAAAACTGTATCCAGACAGCCAGTCCTTGTGTTAAAGGAGACTCAAAAATTCTAAAAAGAAGGTAACACGTGTGATTCTCGACATGACTAATTTATCATACGAGGAAAGACTAGACCGTTTATTCTCTTCTCACTGTCATACCTTAGGCAGTGAGGGAATTTAATTACAATTTTTAAAATTTTAAATAATGACTGCGGACTTGATCTATTCTGCCTTTTCCTTCTAACAAGGTCGTAATACCTCAGATGACACAGCAGGAGAGTTCATAAACCAAGAAGAAATCAAATTGCTGTTGAGTACTGGTTCGCATACTGAGGCATACAATATTGGAATCTACTCCTCGAAGAAGTGGTGTCTGCAACCTCAACTGACTAATTCAAGAAGGGTTGGGACATGCACAGAAATTTACTGGAATAGGACTTACTTATACTTCAAACCTTCTTTCCCCAATCAAACTATTTGAATCTTTTGTTTTGCTACAACAATTTCAAAAACGTTTAGCGTTGGTTATAGTTTCCAAGGTCGTTTGTTTTATGATTCCTTTCATTGCTGGAGTACGTCTGTTCAAATAATAAATTTATCACCGTTCACATTATGATCATAATAGGCAGTGAATACGTTTTACTCACTATGCAGTAATTTGTTGTTATGGAAGTGTCAGTATGATCAAACTTCTAAACACATCGCACTATTATTTAAATGATTTATTCATTTAATGGATTCATTAGTCTATTTAATTAAAGCAAAAACCTGAAGATATCAGTTTATATTTGCTGGAGGTGTAAGTGTTTCTGAATTATGCACGTATTTTCGAGCGACTAAAGTATACTTTATCTTTTTACGAAGAGACCCATATATAACGTTCACGCACATGTGAATACATAAGAATATTTACACATATATTTAAAATTTTTCCATTGATTTTTCCGGGTATTTACAGTGATTTACAACTTGATATGTCAAATACATCTATACATATTTATAGTGGCAAGCAAAAATTAAGTAATTTAACAAAATAAGAGTGCTATAACCAGGAAATATATAATAATATGAGTGGGGAAATAATGGAAAAAATATTTATGACATGGGAGAAGGAGGGCATAGGATGTATTGCTTTTGTATGTAGATTTTTACTAGTATAAAAGGGTTAATATACACTAGTTATTGGTTTTCATCTGAAGAAGTCAGGAACCGAAATTAGCTGTCATGCGTCTACTGCTGTGGTAGGCATACAATGAATTTGGTTCACAGACAATGGTTTCTTAACCCCTTGTGACAGAACTAGACTCAAACGTCAGATATACTTAGTTATGAGAATCTCGTGAAATGCTGTGTCTTAGGATCTAAAAGATCTTAACTCCGATAATTTAAGATGTTGCTGTCAGTACCATAAGAAAAACAAATGTACATTGAATTCTAAAGCAATTCATCAAACAAATATGGAAAATATCTCCGAAGAGAAACCATTCTTGAAACCCAACTAACGAAAGAAGCAAAATAATTGATAAGCAGTTTGTTAACTTTCAGGAGATAACCACTTATTTGCTGATATTTACGAAAAATATCAAACAACTAGGTTCATTAATGCACTATAGTAAACTGATCATGAAGTTATGATTAATATTCTTCCAACAGATCTAAGTTCTTAAAAAAGCAGAATAAGTTTGCTTTCGAATGATCTTTACTTTTACTGTGTGAACCAAAAAATTAGATTTTTGGAACGATTTTCTGTTTGAAGCATGGTTTCAAACGCGTGACAATTATTGTAATTAGCATTATCACGTTACACATTTAACGTAAGACCTCTTATGCATTACTGTTTTAGGATGTATGATTTGCAATAAAAAGCACAATATAGTGTAAATGGCCTCACTGGGGTTTGGGTTATAACCAGAAAATATGGCCTGAGACTATGTAATATGGATCAAAAGCAATCCAGGTGTTTCGGTCTTATTCCTAATCTATATTTATGTTAAATATAAAGTTAAACTTCTTTGTTCGATGTATTTTTAACTTTTTGTAACACTTTTGTTTTCATTTATTCTATCAGCTACTTTAAATTGTCATCAATTAATGTCAGGTGAAATAAAGATAATGGTTTTTTGCCTTTATGAAATTCATCTGAGAGACCCAGTAGTCTATTGAGCACAAAATGAACACGAAAGCTTCGTGAAACTCACCTTGTTTGCAGATTGTATCATAAAGCTTCGATGAATGTTAGAAAACTCTGATTGGTGGCACATGTATCTTGAATTAATCTAACTCAGTGTTTGTTATCAGGTCTAAAAGTGGATCGTCAAATTATTAGAGTTGGTGGATCTCTTTTATTTTTATCTTCTGGCCTTCATTTGTTTGCTTTTTATCAAGCAAAGTAGATTCAGACTTTCGTTCTCAATTATCTTCCGAATGCACGAACTTGACATCTGTTATTGTACTACGTGAAAACAAGATTACCTTAAATTAACAAAAAATTCCACCGACACCGACGATACATTCAGTCCTTTCTATTTTACTAGTGCCAACAGTTTTCCAACCATTGTTAGTTCCACATACATTGTCGTAAATAACCTACTTATGATAAAGGAGACAAACTAAAATGTGTCTTACAGAGGTTTTCTCGGCTTTCAAGTCACACATTATCAAAATCAAAAATTATTATTGCATACGTTTTCTAGCTGTGTGAGACTATTAGATATTGACAGGATGTATTCTCCAACGATAACAGAAATATAATTCAGTTTTATTAAGTAAGAGTTTTCAAGTGTTGAGTTGCAAGGATTTGATTGACTTCAAGTTTGAAGACGAACTGATATCAGTTAGAGAACTACTGAAAACGAGGAAGTACAGGACAGTTGTTTCATCCTAATTTGTGACGATACAGAAGTAATAACCTAGGACCTCACCTTTAGGAATTGAACCCAGGACCTTAAGGTTTTATGGAGAGTTCGTTGACCGGTACTCACTGGTTCCTAATGGTCCTGTTACCAGTTCCACTCCGTGATGAAGACTGATATATGGGTATATGAAATAAAAAAACCAATTTTATCCCTTCTTCACAATTAATATCCATGTTATTAGAATTTCATATGAGAATGTAAACTTTTTATGACATCAGAGTGCATATCTTTTGAAAATCTGAGAATTCCAATGAACAGTAGTAAATGCGACCAAAATAGCTAACACATTCGATTATGGCTTTCAAGAAGCCCGTTGGTGACATGTTATTGTACTACTTAGATAGGAATAAAATACCATATACTCAGTACTAATTAGCTGACCAACGGGAAAAAATATTGTCTACTTGGCTTGAATAGTATTGCTTATGAAAGAATCAAGATGAACTAATTTCTAATCGATCAATTTCAAACTTATTTCAAATTGTTCACACTAGTGATATAGTCTGATTAATTAGTTTCAGATAGTCATAATATTCATCAACAGCTGTGTTCTCTCGATTTCGACGATCAGAAAGGCCAAGCAGTAAGGAACTTTGGCAATAAAGCGAACCGAAAAACAACCTATCGGTCAACAAATATACAGAGTAAAATGGAGATTGACTGGACATACTCTGAGGATACCGTTGAGTGACATCACATGCCAGGTAGGCATTCGGGTGGAACCAAAATGGGAAACGATGAATTGGGCATCGCTCCGAGTGTGTTTTGGAGGAGATTGTGTGGGAAGAAAAATAAAAGCTTATTGACACTCATGGAAGCAGCTAAAAGTGGCTTCAGAGAACTGAGTGAAGAAGAGATGTGCTGCTGCTGAGTTCTATGTTCCACTCGGAATCGAAGGGAATAATAACTGTAATATAATATTATTTAAACTATCCAGATTCTGATATTGCAAGGTGCGATTTAAAAATTTGCCGCGAATTACATTACTTTAAAATGCCACATTTGAAATTTGCACAAAAAGTAAGTAAGTAAGTAAGGATGTTGGGATAGTTAAAGATGAATGCGACAATGAGAAATAATTAAAGCTTTCCAGAAACTGTAAAATAACAAAGGATGAATATATACGCGCTTAGAGACGACTTTGAGACGTATCAATCGCTTACAGTTTTCATTTATTGATTTTCACCATTTGGATGGCCCCAGATAAAGCATGTCGTTGAAAAACAATGCCATCTGAAATAGGTATGATACACTTGTGCATATTAGAGTGGAATTTAAAGATGAATGTCGGTATTCATAAAAACAAATACTTAAGTAATAGAAGTTTACCTCATTCGACGTTCACGTACTTTATGTCCGATCGTTAATGAGTCATATGTTGCTATACAGTGACTACCGAAGCAAACCACACTGTGCTGAGAGAATTCACGATTCAGACATCAATCCATGCTACTGAATACCCTCATTCGCAGTCCTACAAGTCATCTAAAACGATAGTAGTAGTGTTAAATTAGTGGCGATTTTAACTCCACTGTTGAGTGTCGTAAATTTTAGTGCTAGATAGGATATAAAGTTGGAGATCTACACTCATCAGCATTAAGACACATTTGATGAAGCAGCAGGGCTCAATATGCTCAATGAATAATGTATGATGACATAATGTTTTTTTACCTGAAACTATATAGTAGTTCTGAAATCCTAGGGTTAATATCTTCTAACAGTTATTCTTTTTGGGGATGAGTGTAGCAAAACAAACTTTCCATGCCTTTGTTTCCACCGGCTTGAATGGATAAAATGGCGACGGTCAGTTAGCATTTGAATTTCCTCGGGTAGCTAAGCTTATACAGTTTTGTTATTAGGTGCTTAAATGAATTCGGCAGTTATATCAGATGTTATTTTCGGCTGTTTTAAAGATGTTTTACTGACATGCTTTTGCACAACTGACATATCTGTTGTGGCTCTCGTCATACTGTGCGCAAATAAACACCTAGTGACTGCTTTTATTCTCACCTATTTTTAGGCTATGGTTAATTTATCTTCTCCGCCATTTAATCATTTCAGATATAATACCATTTTTTAAACAATAATGAATAAAAGTGAATATAGATTGCCAAAATTGAATGACCCGCTTTGTGACGCCAATTTGAATTCATTAACATTCACTTACAAAATACAAGAGAATTTAAATAAACTTGAAAATCAATTAAATTTCAAACATGATCCCAGTGATAATAACAGTGATGAGAAGAATGAACCTATACTAAATAAAGAAAAACCGTTTATTTTAAAATTTATTGAACATCAAAATAGGTTGTGTAGGTAAGTTCTTACTTAAACTGTCTTACTTGTTTCTCGATATCTTGGTTGATTTCCATTATACTAATCTACTCGACAAAATTGATAAAGTCTGGATGTAATTTCTGCATAATGTGGAAGCAAGCCATCTGCAACTTTGCTGCAGTAGACGACTATTGAGTGTATGGCTGTAGTCATCACAAATCGTTGGTGTTTTCCCATCAGCCTTTAGTGGCGTCACAGTGGGAGTAGCCCAATTCGAAGATTCAGTTGCCTTGCTCAATTAACTTATTTAACTCTTTCTTAACTGCATCTCGCAAACCGTATGGAATTAATCGGCGCTTCAGGAAGACAGGATCACCCTCTATTTCAAGATGGATGGGCTGAATCTTCATGCCATCTACACACTTTGAACATTGGAGAACTAATTCTCTGAACAAAGATTCACCAAACAACTCAGTTCGAAGTGAGATTTCGACATTCAACAATCTAAGGGCTTTTAATCCCAATAAAGATGGACCATATTCACTAACAAGAAAGGGGATATTCACAAAACTGCCACTGTATGATTTCAAACAAATGTTAGTAGCACCAATAAGAGGTAGTTTATGACCAGTTATACCTGTAATCGAACTAGTAGTAGGGTCTACCTGGGCATGCTTACAAAGCAATCGTAAATCTTTCTTAGAAATTATAGATTCAGTACTCCCAGTATCAATTATAAAACAGTGAGACTTGCTTGAACTTGTAATGAATGTTCTCATCAGATGAGATTCAATGCTGTGAAAAGTTGAAAGAGACATTGACTGTATTTCACCAGACAAATTGGGAGAATCATGAGAATTCTGAGTAGCGTAAGTATTTGAACTCCAACAAACAGACTTTATGTGCCCTCTTTTACCATATTTATGGCACCTAACACCCTGAAAACGGCAAGTGCTTCGTAGATGAATCTTCCCACATGAAAAACACGATTTGATGTTTTTGCTTTCTGTCTGCATTCCATTACATGTGGATGACAGTTTGGATTTCCTTTTATGAACAGCTGTATTATCAACTTTGGACAGCATGACATCAGACACTGACGTAGTGGGAGCTGGATATTCACTGTTGACATCTTCATATGTAATACATAAATCTTTAGAAGTTTGAAAGATGCAGGAAGGAATCCGAATCCACTCTTTCTCTAAATTCGGAATATTGGTCCCAGCAATTAGACGATCACGTAGTTGAGTATGGAGCTGATCTCCAAAGTTGCACTTTGAAGCTTGTATCTGAAGCTGAAGAATAAAGTCTCTAATCTTCTGGTTGGGAGCACGAACAAGTTTGTTGAACTGAGCCCTCTCTCGTGTTTCGAAAGTTGTTATGTGGAAATGATCTGTTAGAAGTTCACGGAGTTTATCATATGACAGAGAAATTAGTTTATCTGGAAATGACAGAGTTTTCACTAGGCTGTACGCATCTGGCCCAATCGCAGTAATAAAATGAACTGAAATTTTGTCATCGCGAACATTCTTCGACATGCACCATGCATCAAAACATTCAAGATAATCGGCGATTTCCCGTGGTGAACCATTCATAGGAAACTTTCCAAGATTATTTAATTCCATAGTGACGCCAAAATGTTATAATTATTTGTAATATTAGTATTTCTCAATGACCGAATGACAGGAAATCAACCAACAACACAGAGAGGGATGAATTTAGGAATTTGTATTTGGCGGAATTGTTTGTAATTCATATAATAAATATTAACAAACAACAGGAAGTATTTAAACAATACGGTAATAGGAATTGTCAATCACCACACCATCATTATTTCGAGCTACATTTTAAAAAAAGGAGTTAATTGATGACAGAAAATGTTGAGCACTCCTATTAAACATTTGAAAGTCAGGGGATTTTCAGATAAAAAAAGTGAATGATACACTAGCCTAGTGACTATATTTCAAATAAATTTTGGCAGATTTTTACCAGAGTTAGGGAAAAAAGAGGCTACATCATTTCTTAAAGCCAATTTTGTGCTTCCTGGTGATTGATTGATTGCACCGAAATGTCCGCTTTCTGTTAACGTGATGGATCATAATGCGGACACTGCAACGGTGTCTAGGGATTAATTGGAAGTAATTTGGTGGGTGGTGACTTGCAGTGGAACCCAGGATGTACATTTCGCCCCATTTAGGACTCATCACCTGGATGTGCCTACAATCCCGAGTGAGTAATGGTGTTCTCACTAAGGCTTGGATCCAGCAGCCATCATTTAAAACTCCAAAGCGTTATCCACTAGAGAACGCTCGTTTAGAGTTGAACTCATCAGCTGTGTAACCAGTTTGACTCAGTTCGGAGAGCCAAATCGGGTCATAGCACCCGATATCTGGCTAGATACTTGGACAAACTCGTAATACTGTAAATCGAATTCTCATTTTGCAAACTGATTCTCAGTTTACACAGTTTTCAGTTAAATTTCACTACAGTTTCTTTTGGGAACCAAAATTATTCAGATCGCAATATTTGATCTGCTCGATGCGATAAATTGTAGTCAAGAGGGTGAGCATAAATGCATGATGCTACACACTACAAAATGATTTATATGAGAAGTTAGGAACACTGCCGATGAGGTCGGCATCAAACCAATGAAACAGGTGTCTGGTGCTTGGATTACTTCGATCTGGCTATCAAATACTACCAAATAATGTGAGTGGTACCCAACTACTAATCTAAGCCAATCAGTAGTATCTAGCATCACGCACTTATGGGTATGAAGGAGATCATATACTGTAATCTGAATAATTTCGGTCTCCAGAGAAAATTGTGGTGAAATTTCACCACAAATTGTGTATACTGTATAGGAAAGAAAGGGCGCTCAGCGAAGAGTTACACATCTTTTCGGCTATATCATTCTCAAGCTGTACAATCGCATGTATATATAGTAGATTATCTTAACGAAAAAAATGATTATTTCCAAAGATTTGTAATTAGAATTGTAAATTTTAAGCAACAAATTACATAATGCAGAACTTAATCGGGTAGAAACTAAAATAAAATTCGATGGGGGATTTCATCATGAGCTGACATCAGTTAGAGAACCAGTGGAAAATCTGGGAGTACTGGACAGCCATTTCGTCCTGGTTTTGGACTCTTCAGCAGTACAAATCCACCGGGGTTCGAACCCAGGACCTTCTGGTTGAGTCAGTGAGCTACTGGGATCCAATCCAATGGTCTTTGAATTCTAACTTCTGCCAATTCAGGACATAGCGTGACCATGGTCAGTAGTCTACGAGCTCGCCTTGTAGCCAGTAGGTCCTGGGTTCGAATCCCCTATGGTGGATGTGTACTGCTGAAGATTCCAAAACCAGGACGAAATAGCTGTCCAGTACTCCCAGGTTTTCCAGTGGTTCTCTAACTGTTGTCAGCTCATGATGAAATCCCCCATCGAATCAAACAAAATCCCTACAAAACCAATACTCAAATTATTAGAATTGTAAATTTTAGATAACAGATTTCGTTAATGGGTTAGAAACTAAAGTAAGATTAAATGATCAAGTTGAGTGACGCAATGTAATTGACGGAGTTGAGTAGAGCTCAACTAAAATCAAAATTGAACAAAAGTCAACTTAACAACAGTGGTAATAAGGGGTGGGGGGAAGAAAATATTGTACAATTAAGAAGCAGGCAAGCAAAAGCAAAGACGAAACAAAAATTACCTACTTGGTGTTAAGATAGATGAGGTCCATTGTAGATTTAATGACTGAACAAACTTCTTCTTTTGTATGAAGAGTTCAGCTTTAAAATATGTGAATTGCCATTGCTTCTGCGGTCTGAAGAAGTTTGATTCGTACCCTTTTAGAAAGATTCTCACGTATTCTCTAGATGACTTTGAAGTTACTTTATGAGTTTGCTTGGTGTTCCGATTCGATCAGGTGTTTAAGAATAGAGCTTCGAGGGGACCTATTTTCTCCTTTATAAAACTACGACTGTGGGTAAGTGTTCGATGATACGTTTGGATAGCAGACGTTGGGTACGGCCAACATACCTAGTTCCACACGAGTAGGTGCTAAGAAAATTAACTATATATATATATGCTATTGAACTATATGCTCTTGACTCACCGGTAAATTGCAAATCGCCAATCTGCCCAATATAACTTTTCATTATAAATAAACTGTCATTAAATTAAAACACCTGGATATGTATCTCACACTTTCAGCATATTTTGAACTCAGGATACAAGGTAGTATTGTGGTGAAGCTGTCTACTAGCCAAATTGGTAGACAGTAATTTACGTCAATGTTTACGTTCTCAAGATTTGTCATGAGAAAATATGAACAAAGACTGATTCAAAACCGACCACAGCAGACTTTGCGTAGGCGGATACAGTTAACATATGGATGATCTGACATTCAAGATACAGTCACAAAGAGATGAAAGATTAACTTTAAGTGAGAAACAACCAATCAGAAGACTGTGTTTGTTTGCTTAACTAATATATTATAGTGTACATGAAAATATATAAATATGCTTTGATTTCCTTAATAAACGATCTGTTGCCTGGCCCTTGTCTTCTGTTGTTACAGTATTGTAGTGAGAGCTGTCTGAAAGCCAAAATTGCAGACAACAATTTATCTCAATATCCACGTCCCGAATCAGCGTCATGAGAAAAACAATAACATGGCTTAACCTTGAGGAACTCACCAGCCAATCACAGCAGACTTAACGTGTGCAAATACGATTCGCAGATATATGGCCTGACTTTCGAAGAAACGGCCACAAGGAGATAACAGAATAACCTTCAGCAAGAAAACAACCAATCAGAAGACGCTGTTTCTCTGCTAACAATAACGCTGATAATAATGGACATAAAAATCCATAAATACCTCTTGATTTTCTCAATAAACGATCCGTTGCCTGTCTCTTGTCCTCTGTCGTTACAGTATTAATTAATTCTCCCTATCAATCCGTTCATCCTCCACTGGTGTGAAAACATAGCTTTATATACGACAGAATTCAGAAATACTTAGAATTTTGAGTGAGTACATTAGTATTCTGTCAATGGAAGCCAGTTACTTTGTCTTTCAAGTCACTCCAGTTCACCATTAGGGGGGGGGGTTCATAAATGTTTCGACTACAATTCAGAATTCATGATTAGATTTCAACAGCTCTGTCAGCCGACAGTGGTTCGTGATTATGGCCACTCAGCCCTCGAAATGAATGTTTCTCTGTATGTGTAGACTTCTTTTTATGGTAACTTATTTGTGATTCAGAGTTACTTGACTTAAATTCTTTACTTTTCTACATACAGAAATCATAATAACAATAAAAATGTAAGAAATACAGCTCCACACAAAAGGATAGAGAAATATACAGTGGAAAAAAAGAAATTACCAATAGTAGAATGTATGCAGTGCTCTTTGACAAATGTCCCGAAAACAAAAACAGCGAAAGAAATCAGTCTTAATGATGAAATTAGTCAAAGTAAGAGATAGTGTAGTTTTTAATCATTTTAAAACTACAATTTTCATTTCTAACCCCCAATTGCACAATGTCAATCTTCTTAGTTATTATGCTACTTTGTTTGAGTTTTACCCATCCCCCTGTTTATTATGGCATTCTAATTCCTAATTGTAATTTTTATTAATTTAACCCCTAACCAGAAATTATTCTGAAACTTTCCCATCCATTTGATATAAATACACGAATGTACAGCCTAGATGATGATTTCGTCGAAAAAGAAAATTTTCTTCGCTGCAACCGTCTTTTTATTCCTATAAAACTTCTAAATGACTGTCAAATTAGCATTATTTTGCTTAGTAGTTTCACCATACTACTTGCTAATTGAAAGTAGCAATGAATATGTGTATTGAAGTTAATTTTGTATTTTTACAGCTGGTTGAAGGTGAGGACAGTTGCTCATCGAAGAAGACATTGTGAAGTGGTCGCGCTATGTCGTGAATTGGCAGAAGTTAGAATTCATGGGCCATTGGATCGGGTCCCAGTGACTTAATGGTCTACAAGCTAGCCCTGTAACCAGGAGGTCCTGGGTTCGAACCTCAGTGGGTGTGTACAGCCGATGATTCCCAAACTAGGATGAAATAGCTGTCCAGTACTCCCTGGATTGACTTTTAATTCATGATATGGAAATATTTCACACTATTAAATCATTGGATCCCAGTGGCTTAACGGTCTAAGAGCTTGCCTTGTCACCAGAAGATTGTGGGTTCATACCCTGGTGGTGGGTGCGTGCTAGTGAAGAGTCCTAAACTATGCTGACGAAGCAGGTGTCCAGTATTCCCAGGTGGTTGTCCAATGGTTCTCTAACTGTTGTCAGGTCATGGTGAAATCCTCTAACCAATTAATTTTGCATTTACCGTTGATTGATTATATTGGACTGAAATGGTCCATGTCTGTTGACATGAAGGCCCCTAGAAGGGATTCTTCGACGATGTCTAGGGATAAATGATAACTTGTAGTGGAATCCAGGATGCGTATTTCGATATGCTTACGACACTATTTTAGAAGGTGAGTATAGAAGGGAGGGAGCCTAGTTATTGGAAGAAAGGTCGAAATAAGGGCAACTTCATCATACGCGAGAACTGGCGTGAAATATCAAGTCACTTCAGCATGAAAAGACTAAAAGATGTCTTACGTGGAGGACTTAGTGAGCAGCAGGCTGAATTTATGGAAAGCAAGTCATGCAAAAAGCAAATCACGGCACTTCACATTATCGTCATCATCATCACATCGTCGAACAGAGCTAAGAATGACAGTAAGCTCTGTGGCTCAGTATAATCAAGTTTGGAACGACCTCCCACTATGTTTATTGAGAAGTATTTGGGAAATGCTTTAAAACAAAAGAGTTTAGCAAAGATTAACAAAACTCACTCAACACCTATATGATAGTGTTACATGCTAAGTAATTCAAGATGGGAAGCTCACTGAGTCGTTTGAATTGGAAGCAACGGTAAGACAAGGCTATATATTGTCACCAGTGACCTTTCTGATTGTAGTGAACTGGATCATACGACGGTCAGCATAACTTAAACCTATTAAATGATCCTAGAAGATTTAGATTTCTCAAATGATTGTTATCTTACGTTGCACAAACTCGTGGAAGTTTAAACGAAAACTGACAAGTTGACAGAGAACTCAATAAAAAAAAGGAATTCAGGTGAACATTGGGAAAATAGAAGTGACGAAGATATCTCACAGGCTACAACAAACACTAATACTCATCAGTGAAACAGTATTATTTACTGGATGACATTTCGAACAAAATTTATTGTTCATAATCATATCATCAATTATAAACACACGACTTTGAAACTTGAGTTTTATAGTTTTCTTTGTCCTCTCCTATTTGTCGTCGTTGGGGTAGTAGAATTTTCCAAATACCTCGGTGGACAGGTGTTGAACCATTCCTGTTACATGTATTTGCAGTTGACTCGATAAACAAATCTTCCGTTATCAATCTCTCTCTCCACCCTATTACATTAGATTTTAAAACTGTCATCCTATCCCATCCTATTGTGTGGTTGTGTGTAACTGCATGTAGTGCTATAGCTGAACTATTCTCTAGATTTCTTATCTTATTCGGGTCAACTAATCTAGATTTCGCTACTAGATTTTTATGCTCGACTAGTCTGACTGCACCTGTTTCACTACTTTGATCTATGTATTTGACCTGACAATCATTCCAGCAGGGTATTATATAACTAAATTGTTTGTTTTAAAGGCTCCACAGGATTGATCCTTTAACCGACAAAGCTTGTTTCTAATTGAGTTTGTGGGTTTGAATGCTAGTCACTTTTATTCCTGCCTTGTTAAGAATTCTGCTTAAGGTTTCCGAGGTTCCTTCCTTGTATGGAATTACTACTGATGATTTAGATTCCTTATTGTTGGTGTTGTCTTGCGCACATTTGACATGCATGTCGTCATTAATATTACTATTATTATTATCTTCATTATTATTACTATTATTATTATCCAGTAAATAATACTGTTTCACTGACTGTGTGATACATCTAATAAACAAACTAATATGGAATTACTTACTACCACAGTGCCCAAGTTTTACACATGTATTAACTAATCCTCATCAATCGGAAGAATGTAAAGCAGATCGCCGTCTCTTTCACTGACCACCTCGGCAGTATTATTTCAACCAGAGAGGAGAGGATAGTAAAGCCAGTCAGAGAGGTGTTTATTAATCTGAAGTCAGTGTACAGACCCTCAACACCTAACAAAAGGAATGAGATGCCGATTATCAACACTAATGTCAAGTCAGTGCCTCTATTTATGTAACCGGGGTCCTTTAAGTCATCATGAAACAGGCATTTAGTCAGGCTATCAGTGAATCTTCGGCCATCAAATTAACCGCAAATTACATAAAACAGAAATGGAGCAATGCCAGTTTTGAATATATGGAAAACTGTATTAAAAAATTGTGGGACTGAAATTATTTGATGCAAGTTAGTAAGTTATGTGAATACATACTGATATGATAATGAATAATAAATCGTGCTCACAACGTCATCTGGTTATTAATACTACGGGGATGGTGACCACAAGAGGTGGCTCTCGTGGCCCAAATGGTCTAGTGGATGACGCTTTGGCATTTGAAACTACGGGCACTGGGTTCGAGCCTTGGTGGGAACACCATCACTCATAGGGGAATGCAGCTACATACATCCACCTGACGAGTCCCAGGTAGGACGAAGTGCGCGTTATCCTGGATCCCACTGCTAGTCACCATCCACCAATTGACTTCAAGTTGCATGACAAGACATCGTTGAAACAGCTCTACGGGGAGTCAACATGTCAACCTGAAACTGAGCACTTCGGTCCAATCAATCGATGGGAAAATCTAAATTCCATTTAACTATGTGTATTATCCTGTGTTATACCATCTTATAAATTCATCTAACAAGGAAGTATTTTTCTCTGTTAGATAACAGTGAAAAGCTGGATGGTAGACCCTCAGAGAAAGACAGTGCGAATAACCTGAAAACGTTGTAAGTTTGGCCGAATCAAATTCACAATTTATTTTCTTCACAGAATATCTTTTATATATATATATATATATATATATAATCCTAAATCGTTTAGATAACCTTTGTGTAACCACCAGTGTTTTTTTATATAACATCGAATGAATAAATGTGAAGAGATCACAATTCAGTGTTTGGAGTCAGTGGTACTTGTTGACACTCGTCAGCAATGCGTGTCTGTAGTCTTGAAGGAAGTCATGTCTCTTCTGAGATTCGTATCCAGGCCATCCAATATTGTAGCCAGAGATGTTACTACTGAGGTATTCAGGCTCGCTACTATTGTGTGCCACCGACAATTATACATCTCATCCAACAGCTATACGACAATGCTGCATGCCAAGTAATCCACAACGGAAAACTTACGGAATCATTCGAAATGAGGACAGGAGTAAGACAAGGCTGGCTGCCTACTATCGCCAATGATTTTCCTGATTGCAGTAGACTGGATAATGCGACAAACAGCAAGCAATGAGGAAACAGGCAAGAAATGGACTTACACAAAAATCTTGGAGGATCTGGACTTCGCCGATACGATATATGTCTGATTTCCCACAAACTGGAAGATATGCAAGCGACAGTTGGCAGCAATAAGTTGGCAGAAGAAGCATCAAAGATAGGACTTCAGGTGAACATAGAGAAAACAGAGGTAATGAAGATTCCTGGGCAACACCACCAACAGCAACAACAACAACTGACAACGATCAGCATAAATGGGAGGAACCTGAAAGAAACAACCTCCTTCACCCACCGACCTGGGAAGCATCGTTTCAACTACAGGCGGACGGAACTGACGAGGATATCAAAGCAAGAATTGAAAAAGCAAGACAAGCTTTCACTACTCTCAAGTCTGTGTGGAGGTCAACAGCACTAATCAGCATCAAAAATAAGATCCGGATTTTCAACTCCAATATGAAGTCAGTCAGCGCTATTATACGGATCAGAGACTTGGCGCCTAATAAAGAGCACCTCAAACAAACTACAGACCTTCATTAACAGTTGTCTTCGCTCAATACTCAAGATCAGATGGCCGGCCAGAAAAGATTAGCAACACAGATCTCTAGGAGCGAACCAACCAGGAACCGATTGTGCAACAAATAGGCAGGAAGAAATGGAGGTGGATTGGAGGCCGTACTCTGAGGAAACCATCAAGTGACATCACTAGACAAGCCATTGCTCGAGTGGAACCCGAAAGGGAAGCGGCGAGTTGGTCGTCAGTGCAAGGGTGACTTGGAGGAGGAGGTCATGTGAAGAGGACATGAAAACGTGTGGGCAGACTTGGAGCCAGATGAAGACTCTAGCAAAGAACCGAACGCAATGGAGACGCACGGCTGAAGCCCTATGTTCCTCTAGGAATTAAAGGAAACAGTAATAATAATAATAATTCGGGTTCGTGACTGACCTCTAGTAGGACAGTAATGAATATTTTGATTGGAGGCTATGTAATGACTTATGTCATATCTTTAATCCTCCGTCTGGTGTAGACTGCATTCTGTCAGTCAAGTTTGCCATATCATCATGCCAGATATATTAAGAAAAAATAAATAATACAGAGTTTGTGAATTTACAGCTTCTTCAGCGGACCAGGGTAGCAACAGTGGCTGAACCTGTCTCTTTTGCATTCAGAGCCGATGGTGTTCTAAGCGAATTTCAATGGCCTCTGATGTTTGGAGTATTTGGTATCTAGAGGACTTTGGTCATTTATTTGGTACACAATAGATGACAGAAAAAGGCACCTCCTGAACAATGAAATACCAGTTTCATTTTTTAAGAAAATCTCCTTTCTTATCTTCCTTCTTTTTTTCCTTATGTATAGCACTGAAAGCGTGCGAATTACTTTTGGTGACGCTTATATTAATGAATGTGTAAAAACTGTTTCTTATTTAAACAGTAAGTATTAAATGTCGTCTTCAATGTATACCACTATGATGAGCTTGTATTAGTTACTGTCTTCATCTTTTCTAAATTAGTTTACTTAACACACACTGGTTAAATTAGTAGGCGATATCACTCTCTAAATATCCTGACTAAGATCCCAGCGAGGCAGCCTACACCTCACTAAGTGGCTGGCTCAAACCATTTGAGAAATGAATATTAATTGTTACTGTTCCCTTGGTTTCCGAGTGGAACATACGGCTTTAACAACAACACATCTCCACTTTCTTCTATTCTCTGCTTTCCTCTTCAGCTGATTCCACAATTACTCATAATCTCCCATCTCCTCCACGTCAACCTAGGATGACTCACTCGTCGCTTCCTTTTGGGGTTTCACTCGAACAATGGCCCATCGCGCGATGACATTTGATGGTCTCCTCAGTGTGTGTGTGTTTATGTGCACTATCCATCTCCATTTTCCCCTACATATTTGTTGAGCAGTCGGCTCTTGTTTTTTTCTTCTCCAGAGTTTCTTGTTGCTAGTTATTTCTGGCCATCTGATTGATATTCAATACACAGCATGAGCGGCTTGGGATAAAAGTCTGTAACCAATTGGAAATGATTCACGTGACGTGCCAATTTTCTGACCAATATAGAAGCACTGACTGACTGACTTCACATTTGTGTTGAAAATCCGAGTCTCCTTCTTTATGCTGGATGAGTGTAGAAGATTTCCAAACAGATTGATGATTGATGAAGGTGTATCTTGCCTTTCGGATTCAGGCTGTCTTTGACATATTCATCCGTTCCGCCTATACTTGAAACCGTGCTTCTCAGATAAGTGAAGGAAGTGACATCTTTCAAAGTTACTTGATAGCGATTGGTTCTGTTTGATGTTATTGGTGCGAAGTTATCTTCATCACTTCCATCTTCTCTATGTTCACCTGGAGTCCTGCTTTCACTGGCTGCTTCTTTGGCCAGTTTGTTGGTTTTGCCTGTAGAACTACAAGTTCGTGTGACATTAGACAAATATCATCAGAGAAATCAAGATCTTCCAGAGTTTTCTTATCACTCGTCCAGCGTATTCCTGTCCTCTCACTCCTCGCAGTCTGACACATAAGCCAGTCGACTACAATTAAGAATAGGTAGCGAAAGACTTTGTGGATTGATGTCAGGTTTAGGTTTGACCAACCCGAAGTCTTTTCCAGCCTAATCCTACACCATCTAACATCACTTGACCAGGAAGGAGGCACTCCACCTGCGTAACACATGTTAATTACTGTGGCTTCACAACCTCACCGAAAAAATTTCCCTCTTTACTTAACACTTCACCTCTTGCCTCAATATTGCTCTTCATATTACACTGCCTAACACTGGAGATAGAAGGCAAACATCTCTGGTTGAAGACAGTTAAGCTTTTCATATCTTCCAATTTCTTATGGCTATGTTTGATAGCCATAAGGAAGGGCAGGGAGGACTTCTGCACAGTGTACACGCCCTCCAAAACAATATCTTACACACGATCAGTGAAATGAAGTAATAACGTAACAGATACATAGGGGGAATTGAACTTATTATTGTTATTCTCCTTGGATTCCGCTCAGTATATAATAGGGCTTCAGTGGCACATTCTTATTTCACTGGCTTTTCTGCATTCTTTTTTAGCTAGCTTCACAAATGATCATAAGCTTGCATTTATTTCTAGCATGATCTTATCCATTTCACCCTCGGAGCTACATCCAACTTGTTGTTCGTCATTTGGGTTACACTCTAAGGTATGCATAGCGCATGATGTGACTCAATGGAATTGAACTTCGTCCATAGGAAAATAAATTTTTCAGTGATTCAGTGAAGAGACTATTTTCAACGAATTTATCACCAAGCTGTACAATCGTATATATATGGTTTTTTTAAGAAGTTATATCCGGTGAGGGAATTGAAACATAGGTGTGAATGCATAAAATAATAATAATTATAGTATGAAATGCAATTAAAACTAAAATGTTTGTGATTATAATCATAGTTAAATGTCAAGTGGCAAAACAATTAATGTAATATATAGAATAATTCATAGGATGGATGGAACTTAGAAGGGGGTGTGGAATTATAGGATTATTAGGGAAATCGAATAAAATAAAACCGTCACGTAATATTGTGTGAAATTTTATAGCATAGAATTTTTTTTTCCTTCAGGTTCCCCAGTGGAACATAGGGTTTCAAGCTAGTGGATTGAAGTTTCTGTAGCAGTGTTTATTTTACAGGATGGGTTGCTAGCCTCATGCCCAACCTTTCCTTTCTGGCTTAACATAGAATTTAATGTTGCAAAAAAGAATTGATTTAGAATGACAAGTGGAACAAGTGAAATAATACCGGGGACAGTTCAAAATGAGAGTAGTAATAGTAACAATTGACTTAATAAGGAAGAGTATACAAATTGAATAGACAAAAATGAAAAATTGGTAGAGCCAAAATATGATGGGGGATCTCCATACTTTAGCATAGAGGGATTAAGACCATGAAAGTTGGAGGGGTTGAACGAACTCTTTTCTGTACACAGAGATCTGGCTTTTCTGTTTCGATAGCCAAAGCTTCAGCAATACAGATGAGTCGGGTACGTAGTGATTTCGGTAAATCACTTTTTGATTTATAGATGATTTTAAAGGTGGAGGCTATAGAGATAGGGTGATCATTATCTACGAGATGTTCAGTGATCGTGCTTCTTACTGCTTCTTATTGAAAAGAGTCTCTTCACTGAATCACTTGTTTTGATTTTCTATATGTTACAATGGGAATTTTCCATGAATACATGCACCTTGGTTTATCTAGTTGTTTGTTTTCAGTAATTACCTCTGCCTGACTTCAAAAAGTTGGGAAAGTTGACGTATCACACGACAGGCTGTGGGATGATTTAGTAGTGAAGACATGCTGACGTATATATCACGATATTTGGTTTCAGTATATAATATGCTCATCAGTGATTTGAATAAAATACAGTAATGGTAAAGAAATAGGAATCCCCTAAAGAATGTCGAATGAATGTTACAGTCTTTCTGAGTTAAATGATGAATGGATTCTAAACAAAATTGTTCTATGAAAGTCAATACTTTTAAAGAAGAGTATTAGGAAAGTGGCGTAAAAGAGATGCGGAATACATATAAATAAGAGAGACATAAGTACAAGAAGTATTTTATATACCTTCTAATCTGCAGTTCAATTGATTTAACCATTCAGAGAAACCAATGAAACAAGAAGAAAAGGTGCTTTCTACTCATCAAGGAGAACTAAACGTAAGTAAATATATATATGCTTATGAACTCTTTTGGGTAATGGTTTCCAACTAAAGTTTCTGTCAGTTTTCTTCCCTCAACTTCAAGTCTCATTGTGTCGTATGTACATATTCGTTGGATTATACAAAAAAGACAGTTTATAAGAGCTCTTTTATGCTGGACAGGATAGAAACTGGAGTAATAATAATAATAATTTGCTTTATTCCAAAACAGTACTTGTGATACAGAAAAACGGTTTTTGCAGAATAAAATGACACCACCATTGTTTATTTCGTTGGCTTCTCATCAGCTGCTCACAGGCCAAAGTCATTATTAAGTATATCGATAAATAGAATTCTACATAGATTATGGAAATCTCAGTCCATTATGACAACAACATATTGGCATGTCGGTAGCAAAGCCAAAGTTGAACAGAGTGTTTGAAGGTGTTAGAAAAGTAGATGCTATCATATTTACTGGTGTAAGTGGGAGAAAGAAACAAAGTAACACATAACGGGAAAAAAGAGAGAGGGAAAAAAGGAAAAGAAAGAAAGAAAATGTTCTACCTATAAATGATATGAGTTGGAAAGACGAGATCCAGTTGTTCTACTAACTATTTAATAAATTACAGGTATCACGCCTAATGCTTTCTTTATCGCACAGAACACGAGCTAAGTAGGGCATGGTTGAGTTTTTGTACTTGCTGGTGCGAGCATATAGTTTTCTATATAGGCTTCTGGTTTCGCCTGATGAGATGTTAAGGGAGAGTTGTGAATGAAGAGGGTGGATTTAGCTCATTTTTCACATGACTCCATGTGCCTGTCAACCAGAATATTAACAAGCTGGTTAAGTGGCACATTGCTTGCCCTGCTGACAACCTTTAACATCCTGCGTAATATGTTATAGTCTTTCTTCAGTAGCCCGGGAAAAACTAAGGGGGAACAATAGAGAATAATAGGGAGAATGCGACAGTTAACGAATTGTAGAAGTAAGGGTTGGGTTATTCCAGAATGTCTTAACTTCTTGATGTAGAAGGTAAGACGGAATATTTTTTTGGAAATTGTCAAGATATGAGACGATCGGGGAAGATCAGCAGATGGAATGACGCCTCGGTATTTAATTTCCGACTTGGTCTCTATTTCAGTGCCATCTATGTTGCACACCTCGTGAGAGCCAACCAGTTTGTTTAGGTCGGATTTATGCCTAAAGGTGAAATTGACTGTTTGGCATTTGGAGGGGTTTAAGGTAAGACCGTTTTCCTTGGACCACTGGCTGATTTCTGACAGAAATCCATTTAGTTTAGAGCAGTCACTTTGACATTAGATATTAAGATAATTAAGATATTGTCCTGTCCAGATGGATTCTGTGTATTTAGATCGTATTGATTTATTAGACTGTCAAGTGAGCGACATACTTTTTGAATGATAAACAGTTATGTTTCTTTTCTACGCATATAAGTGGTATAAAGTGGAATTATACTCTACTATAGTGCCCAAGTTTTATCCTTATATCAAGTGGTTTACGGGACTTAATAGCGAGATCGGTAATGAGACAAATATTAGAATAAAAATTCAAGCTAATGAAATAATATTGTAACAGTATTTCATTGGTGGATGGTGACTAGCAGTGGAATCCAGGATGCGCATTTCGTCCTACTTTGGGCTCGTCAACTGAATGTACCTGCATCGACGGGAAAATCTAAAATTCAATTAAATAATTGTAGCAGTATATTGCAAAAAACACAGTGGGTGTTAATTTAACAAGTGTGAAGAGGATGAGAAAACGTATAAAAGCAACATGTGAGAGTGATAATAGTGACTTAATTATTTAAGTAAAAGTAAAGTAATCATTAAAAATATAAAAAAAATTACAGGGAACAACTAATGAAGAAGTAAAGACCATGGTAGAAGAAGAGACTGTATACACAGTTCAGGGTTGCATTGACGAATTGCCAACGTCTCGACCATACACAAATGCCGAAACCTGATGCTCTTTGTACCATTTGGCCTCACCTTGTAGATAATCTTAAAAGACGACTCTGGTGGAGCTGGGTGGCTTGAGTTCACCAAGTGTTCGAGAAGTGAGCTAGTAAATGTCCTGCATTGTCCTCTTGCTAACCACGCCGGATAATGTTCAGAGATGCGTTTGTTTCATTTTATTACTTAAGTTTACTATTATTTTTTATATTTATTATGATCACTAGTATTGTTTATTATTAACAATGGATCTTTCATAAAGATTTTATAAAAACACTTCACCCTGTTTCCACTAACTTTTGTACATTTAGACTGACTAGCCATTTTCCACATTTATTACGTCTATCTCTAATCTCCACTTACTCATCCCCTTGTAGACTATACCTCGGATTACATGATGCATTTTCTAGAGTATAGTTACCAGTATCTGATTGGTTTTATCAACTTTTTGTTAAATATAAATACGACTGTACAGCAGCTGTTGAGAATGATATATCTGAGGGGGAAATTTTCTTCTCTGTTACGTCTTCTAATATGTTTATGACATAATGTGAGAATTTTCCGTTCAAATGAACACGGATTTCTTGTTCTGACAGTCATTAGTTCCCCTAGGGTCACATCTGTGTACGCAGAAAGAGACAGTGGTGGTGAATCTTGAACTGCCTTGGTGATACCAAAGGGCACAAATTCCACTACGTCATCTTCTGTCCTGTTTAGAAAACTTGAATTTTCCGTCTAAATATGGCTCATCCTACTCTCCCCTAATTTCTGTCTATTTTATGAAAACATGTTTTTCTGTCGTTACGTAACCTATTACTCTTTTTATACTCTTTCTAGTTAAACTTTATTTCTACCTACAAAACATCTGTCTGTTGAACTCTGCTATAATTTTATTTCCCGGATTAGTCATGTAATTCTTCTATAAATAGTCGATCCTTTTCACTCTCGTAATTATTTAACAACTTAGTACATCATTCCTGACCAATGTTACTTACCCTCAGTTCCAATCAATTACTCATTATCAGCGTAAAAAGAAGTTGTATGCAGCCAGTTGAGAAAAATCCAGGAAATAATAGAAAAAATAAAAACACGAGCTCAGATTATCCTGGTACATTGGTCGTTCTTGCTTTATTCACATATCCTAATCACTACTATAACATTTCGCCTTCATCCCTAAGATTGAATTTATAAGGGAGAATTCCTGAAAGTGTTGTATCAGAATGGCCTAATTATTAATTCTACAGTGTTACTAAGTTTCTGCATATCCCCTCATTTTATGCTTGACCCGTAGCGGTTAAATTATCAGTGGAAAGTTAAAGTACTGCGTCTCGTTCATACGAAAACATTGTGGATGCAAAGATTTATTTATTTACAATTTCTGCCATCCAAGTCATCTGACCCTAATGTACAGATACTCGGTACTCACGAGATTTGTATTTACTCCCTTTGAACAAAAGGTTTATTTGAAATGAGATTTTAAACAGCAAGTATCTCTACGAAGTAAGTGTTGTCAACTGTACACAACAGGGATTATCAACTGTATAATTCATTAGCTATTTACATTTATCGGTGTGTGTGTGTTGGGTGGCGAGATCATTAGACTGAGGAATGTGTACATATGTAAAATAGAAGGGAACATTACACACATAGTATTTATCAATGTAGTGTATTCCGTTTTGAATGCAATTGCGTTGGTGGTACAGTGGTTAGGACTCTAGCCGACCATGCACATGGTTCGGGGTTCGATCCCCTGCCGACGCACACCTGAAATCTATGGTCGGCCTGCAAAATTTGGACTACCGATATCACATGCTGAAAATTTCACACCTGTACCATAAGATACGGTGTGGAATCAAGTTATAATCTATATATACATATCATCTGCATATACTAATGAAACCAATAAGTCCACTAGAAATAACCACTCGAGTCCAAAATGATGAAACTGCTTTTATTAGCAAATATATATGATAATGTAATAAACTATAGATTAGCGTAAATATTCCTCAGGAGCGGAGTTGAAAACTCAGTGAAGATTTGACTGGGTTACTTTGTTTATTAACACACAACGAAAATAAAAGACAGATTCAGCGAAGAAAATTTTCTTTATCGACGAAATCATCTTCAGAGGCTGTACACAGTCGTATTTATACTTACCAAAAATGCATAGTGGTTTATTATTGAGTAATAGACGGGTGACATAATTGATATAATTACTCAGAAGTGGCTTTAGAAGTAAAAATATACAAAAGTTGTAAATTACGTGGTACTCAACTGCACAAAGTTAGAAATTTGATAAGGTTAAAATTGCTATTTAGTGAGAATAAAAATAGTTGAGTGTCAGTTTAACAAGCGTCAAGAGGGTGTGAAAATGTAAACATCTAAGCATATATAAATAAAGCACTAAAATATAGGGAGGGAAAACTCCTTTTCCAAAAGGTTTTCTCTACGTGGACCTATACTCCGTTTGGAGTTGATTGATTTTCTTAAACTTCCAGCGCATTAAACTGGTTGAAGCATTCCGCTTATTTTGTTTTGCATTGTTAAGGTAAACTTTCGTGAAGATTAGTCGTGAGAAAGGTGTATCAGATGTACATTAACATATATTAAAAGACGTAACAGAGAAGTAAATTTCCCCAACAGATCTATCATTCTCAACAGCTGCTGTACAATCGTATTTATATTTAACAAACAATTCATAAAACCAATCACACACTGGTAACTATACTCTGGAAAATGCACCACATAATCCGAGGTGCAACCTAGGAGGGGATTACTAAGTGGAGATTAGAGAGAGACGTAATGAATGTGGAAAATAACTGATCAGTCTAAATTTACAAAAGCTAATGGAAACAGGGTGAAGTGATTTTATAAAATCTGTATGAGATCCATTGTTAATAACAAACAATACTATTGATAAAAATAAATATAAAGAAATAATAGTAAACTTAAATAAAAGGAAATGAAACAAAATTATGACAAAAATGTTACTCGACCACACACACAGCGTCAAATCAGTAAACATATTTTAGTGCAGTGCCCAGATTGGTTAGTCAGAGGAGAAAAGAAGTATATCAGTAGTTCCATCCTTGAACACCTCGTCAAATCCGAGCATGGGATACTTCTACATGATTGCTTGACAGTGCCCCAAAGAGTTTCCCAATGTCGCACAAAAGGACTTCGAATATTCCGTTTGAACACAGTCGAACCATTAGCAGTAAAGTACCTGAAACTGGAACAATGCATTCAAAAGCTTTGCACACACTCAATCTGCTTAAACGTGGTCACTTAGCTCCACCAGAGTAGTCTTTCTAGACTATTTACAAGGTGAGGCCAAATGGTACAAAGGACGTTACGTTTGGAAATTTGTGTATGGTGGAGGCGTTGGCAGTTCATCCAAACAACCCCGAACTGTGTATGCAGAAAAAGTTTGTCTAGGCTCTTATTCGACTATGGTCTTAACCTCTTCATTAGTCGTTCCCTGAAAAATTTTAATTTTTAATGATTAGTTTGCGTTCACTTTAATAATTTATTCACTATTATCACTCTCACCTGTTTCTTTTATACTTTTTCTCACCCTCTTCACACTTGTTAAATTGACACTCAACTACCACCTTTATTCTCACTTAATAACAATTTCAATCTTATCCAATTTCTAACACTTTCTTCCTTTGTGCTGTTGTTGAGTATTACATAATTTACAACTCTTATTTTTACTTTTGAAGCCACTTCTAAGTACTTTTATCTATTATGTCACCCCCCCTATACATTTTCGGTAAATATAAATATTTGCTCAGTCAATATACATATATGTGATAAGAATAACGATAATTAAAATGTTATAAGGGGTAGAGTTGAACTGGATAAATTACAAAATTATTAAAGATTGTTTTATAAGTGAACTGAAATCAAAAATGTTTTAAAAATGTCAAGTGTTGTCTAAAAATTTTAAAAAATAAGAGTACGATTACGATAAGAATGAAGATGTGAAGTGAAGTGGAAAGAATTCAAGTGGTAAAATAAAATAAAGTAAAAACTAGAAAGAACATTACTATGACCAAGGTAAAGAAAGAGGTTTGACAAAACGTTTTTGAACACATAATTTAGGTTTCTGTTCATGTATAGCTAAAGCTTCGGCTATGCATAAGTGAAGAAAACGTAAACTTTTGGAGCGATTCGATTTTGCCATGTAGATAACTTTGAAAGATGAATCACGTGGGGCCAAATGATCTGACTCTAACAGGTGATCACAGATAGACGACTTCACAGTTCTACGTTCGCCTTTCATTAACCAGACTGGATAGTGTTCAGCTACACGTTTTCAGGGATTACGCTTACAACGTCCAATATAAACAGCTGCACAAGAGCAGGTAAAAGAGTAAATACACATGGATGTGGACAAAAGCGGTAATCTATCCTTGACGCATTGTCTAATCATATTTCGGCTGGTAAAAACTAGTTGTAAGTCAGCTGCAGGAAAAGTACGTTTAATACATTTAGACAAACGATTTTTAATCAATTCCGAAATGGTGTCACCTTTGAATGCCAGACTCATAAACAGTTTCTTCTTTGGTACTGTAATTTGTCTGGGAGCGTGTTCTTTCTTGATGTTACATTCGATAAACCTTGTAGGATAACCATTATTAAGGAGATTTGATCGAAGCTTATCTAGTTCACTATCGATTGTCTCTGCAGAGCAGATTTTACGAATTCTGGAGCATAAGGAATGAATAAGATTTCTCTTTCTCCCTAACGGTACCCAACTGTTGAAGTTAGTGTACTGCCCAGTGAATGTTGGCTTTCGGTAAATCGACCTTAGCAACGTACCATTCTCTCTTCTACCTAGCTTTACATCAAGGAAGTGAAATGATTTCAATTCACTTATAAAACAATCTTTAATAATTTTGTAATTTATCCAGTTCAACTCTACCCCTTATAACATTTTAGTTATCGTTATTCTTATCACATATATGTGTATTGACTGAGCAATTATTTAGTGCCACTTATTGACCTTTTCTGAAATATAAATATGACTGTACAGACTATGAAGATGATTTCGTCGGTAAAGGAAATTTTCTCCTCTAATGAACTGTCTTTTTATTTTCATCATGGCTCATTGAATATTTTTAGAGACTAGAGATTCGATCTCTGAGAGTAAGGATTGGCTTCAGAGCATATTCCTAAATGGCTCCAGAAATAAATAGAATCTTCAGAACCCATTAATGGTGAGAACAGGAGACCTAGCTCCTCTAATGCGAAATATATTACAGAGGAGACAGGACATAAAATTGACGTTAACAGATCTTTTAAACCTACCTTTAAACGTATTTGGGACGTATCCTAAAGTTTGTGAAAACCCTAGCAATTAGAAAGTTTAAACCACCTATATGCGTTCAAAGCAACAATTCGTCATCACACTAAACCTTCCTTGATAAACTTTGTTTTGATACCAGCCAGGGTAGATGTACTATTACCTCTGTTATTTGGTTTAGTGATCTTCATTGTTATTTTGACCTTCAATATGTCCTTTTAACTTGACCTATATTTATTTTCTCACCTCTTAACTCTTTATTAATTTCATATATATTCCTATGACAAGTTCGTGTGTGTGATCAGATTGTTCGAAATGTGTTGCGCAAATACAACACTATACGATTCAGACAAATTACGTCTTCTTATTGCTTTATCTAAATTCATAAAGGGAACTAATTGTTTTATAACAAAAAAGACGTAAACAGCGAAGAAAATTTTCATTCGGACGATACAATCGTAATTAAATTTGATAAAGAATTCATAAAACCAATCAGATACTGGTAAAATTTGGCCTCGAAAAATGTATTACGTAATGTAATGTGTAATCTACAAAGGGGTGACTAACTGGAAATTAGAAAAGGGTCAGAAGATGTAATAAGTGTGTGAAAATGACTTATCAGTGTAGTTGTGTAGAGTGGACAAGAGCTAGTGGAAAGATGACAAAGTGTTTTTATAAAATCTGTATGAAGACGCAATGTTGTTAATGAACAGTAACAGAGTGATAATAAAATAAGGATGATGAGATTAATAGTAATAAGCTTGCATAGTAAAAGGAAGCAAAATTATAGTGAGAACGTTACTCTGGCCACGGTAGGGCGAGTGAATGTATGTAGTGCTTAGAGGTCCGGTTTCAGATCCTGAATAGCCAATGATTCAGCTATGTACAGATGGCGTATACGAAGTTCTTGAATACGATATTGAGGGACCTTGTGTAACACTGTGGAGCATTCATGCAAGTGGGGACGCTCGATGTCTACAGTTGACAAGGTATTCGAGGATGGAGCTACTAGTATTCTTCTTTTCTCCTCTGGCTGGCTAGCCAAGCTGGACAGTATTCCAGAATACGTTTGCGGACTTGATGTTGAATAAGGCCGGTATAATTTGCTCCACAAGAACAAGTAAACTGGTATCTTGTTTTCTTCACTTCCACGCCTCATCAATGTGTATATTATTTTAAAATTTTGACAACTTGTATCAATCTGCTCACTTCTAGGTTAATTTGGATCTCCTGTTGATTCACAAGTTCCAAACTGGACGAAACACACATCTTGTATCCCACTGCTGGTCACCATCATCCAAGAATAACTTCATGTTAATCCATAGACATCATGGAAGCGTCAGTATTAGGTGCTGACATGTCAACAGAGAATGAACATTTCGGCCCAACATATTCAATTCAACGGAAAGTACAATTCAGTCTAGTAACAAATAGTAACTAGTACCCATGACATCAGAGATGGCTCTCATATATAGTCCTCATGGCATAGTGAATAATTCTTTGGCTTTTGAAACGATAGGTACAGGGTTAGAGTCTCAGTCGGAAGACCATCACTCATTGGGGAATTCAGGTCCATCCGACTGACAAGCCCCAAGTGAGACGAAACGCGTATCTTGGATTTCACTGCTAGTCACCAACAACAAAATATTCACGTCAATGAATCAATCCCTATTTTTCCTTAATTACCTCTTTTCTTTTTGTCTGTCCTTGTTTGTTTATCTTTTATTTTACAATCTCTTGTAGATAAATCCACAAAAGCGAACGTCGCAAAATAATAAATCCAACCGTATTGACGATATTGTTGACAGTGAATATAGAGAAGGTGATTTTGTCACCACTGGAATTAAAGGACACAGAAAATTAGATTTGAATTCATTGAACAGTGTGAGTTGTTTTTTTTTTTGATCACATTTTTATAAATCGTACATAAGCATGCAAACGTGTTGCACCGGTGATTGTTCCAGGGTAGAATGTTGGCCAACCACACACACACACACACACATAGTCCGAGTCTAATTCCAGGCTGACGCACTCCCTGAACTCGCTAGTTTACTAGTTGATATAATACAGGAAAAGAGGGGAGATGAAGCGTGAGGCTAGCAACCTCACTCCGTAAAAGATAACACCACTGCTCCTGAAACTTCTGAGTTAGAGCTTAAAGCCTTGTATTCCACTCAGGACTCAAAAGGAATGGAAGAAAAGAGGAAGATGTAAACATTATTAAGATTTCAGTAATTCATGCTGCCCTTGGCTTTATTGATTCGCTACAATCAAAAGTATTTTTTAAATGTTTATTACTATGATGGAGTTAAGGATAGCAGAAGAACAACGGTGAAATGTGAGCTTCATTTGATATTATTTCCAAATGGACAATTCGAAGGTGGAGTATACTGTAGATCTTGGAATAGAACATACCTTCGAAACACATACAGACACCATAGGTTAATTGGTGGATGGTGACTAGCAGTGGAATCCAGGATGCCCATTTCGCCCTATTCGGGACTCGTCCTCCAGTTGGATGTACCTACATTCCCCAGTGAGTGATGATGTTCCCACTGCCCATAGTTTCAAACGTCAACGCGTTATCCACTAGACCACTTGGGCCACAAGAGCCACCTCAGTTCAATCAATAGACGGGAAAATCAAAAATGAAATTAAATAATTAATATGACCCGTTGCACAAGAGAGTGGCTCTCGTGGCCCAAGTGGTCTAGTGGATAACGCTTTGGCGTTTGAAACTATGGGTAGTGGGTTCGAGCCTCGGTGGGAACATCATCACTCACTGGGAAATGCAGGTACATCCAGATGACGAGTCCCAAATAGGATGAAATGCGCGTTATCCTGGATTCCACTGCTAGTCACCATCCACCAATTAACCTCTACATACAGACACCCTCTACAGGAGAACACTGTAAGGACAGTAGGAGACATAATATTAGTGAGTGTTCACAGCACTCTCTGTAAACAAGATATGTGACCCTATCTTAGATTGAAGCTCCTATGATTGTATTCTTATTAGTACATGCTATCCAAGTAGAACAGTGTTTCGATGTCTTAAACTTGTGATTTGTTGGTCACACAAAATAAGTGTCAGGAGTAATCTTTGCCTTCCTAGTCAGTCAGTCCTTGTATCTTCCTAACTGTGGTAGTAGGAGTAGTGGGTAGGTATGGTAATTTTTATATTACTATTTTCTGCTAATATCATTCTGATTCCTAAGAACATACGAAAAATGTTGTCACATCTCACTCTATCTACGAAATCTAATACATGTGTGGTTACGCACACACACACACATACACACAGCATTGGGAGCACTCATCAATCTCTGCGACTAAGGACTTCAGAGCACATCCGTAAAGGGCTTCGGAAGGATACTGAACTCCCTGAACCTGTTAATAATGCAAAACAGACGACCTAGGTCTTTCATTGGGAAATATATTATCGATACAAGATGTAAGTTGGTGTTTATACGTTTTTCAAACCAATCTATAAAATGTGTGTTAAGGGGTTAATCCGACAGTCTATGGTAGCCTTGACAATTAGGAGGTTTTAAACAGGCTATATGTGTTCAAAAACAGTTTATTATCACATTAAATCATTTCTGGTGAATTTTATTTTGATACCGGGTTGGTTAATTGATGTCCATTGTTATTTCGACTTTCAGGATAGCCTTTTAACTTTACGCGCGCCTATTCGCCCACCCCTTAACACTTTATTATTTTCCTATTAGTTCCTATGACAAGTACGTGTGTGATTAGATAGTTCAAAGTGCATTGCACAAGTACACATTACACGACTGGAATAAATTATGTCTTCTTATAGTTTGGTTTTCTAAATCTATAAAGGAAACTAATTGTGTTAAACATTATTATGATTATTATTATTTCCCTCTATTCCAGCATAGAACGACTGTCAAAAGAATGCGTCCTACTTCAGGATCAGGTTAGTCAGCAACATAATGTAGAGTTGTGCTGAAGTTTTTATATTTTTGATGACTGAGAGTAAATTCGCCTCATATCACTGTGCATCATTTCAAGTTACCACTCTGTATGGAATTCTGATAAGAAAACTTGAACACCTTAGTTCATCAGGTTAAATGTTGATCACACTGGACGACTCTGGCTGTAGATTTCCTCAAGCTAACGAAAATTAAAACTTCTGTGGCAATAAAATTCTGTTCAGATGAACACTAGCGTGCTAGAGTTGTAGTGAATAGGCACTCCATCCGATCTGTGGTAGTGTGGTGTTCATACACTTCCGAAGAGAACTTGACTAATTTTCAAGTATTGATTTTGTAGGGATTTTGTTTGATTGGTTGGAGGATTTCATCATGAGTTGACATCAGTTAGAGAACTATTGGAAAACCAGCTGAGAGTACTGGACAGTTTGGTTACAAGGCCAGCTCCTGGGTTCGAACCCCAGTGGAGAGTCTCAAACTATGACGAAACAGATTTCCAGTACTCCCAGCTGGTTTTCCAATGGTTCTCTAACTGATGTCAGCTCATGATGAAATCCTCCAACCAATCAGAACTTGACTAAGATAAATTAGATAATTAATGCTCCATGGTTTGGAATGGTTCTTCTGACTGATATCAGTCCATGGAAAAGGAAATAATGATTTTTAGAAATGATATTTCTTTGGAATGTATTCTAGTTTTATCGGTGTATTTAAATTCTCTGAGATTGGTTGTTGCCGGGGATTTCTATCAACCTCTTATCCACTTGTATTGTTATTAATTATGTTTTAGCCTGATAGTTGATGTTTATCCTAAGTGACCATTTTTATTGGTTAAAGGATTTCATCGTGAGCTGACATTGGTTAGAGAACCATTGGAAAACCAGCTGGGAGTACTGGACAGCTGTTTCGTCCTAGTTTGGGACCCTTCATCAGTACGCACCCACCGGGGTTCGGTGGTTCTCTAACCAATGTCAGCTCACAATGAAATCCTGTAACCAATCAACCAAATCCCTAAAAACCAATACTTGAATATCAATGAGATGCTCACTGGTGACTGGCCCTATTCAGGTAGGTAATTACCTGAGGTTCTAGTGGGAAGCCGTGACCAGTAGGGTGCAGTAGGTCGGATGTGAGGACAAATACTCTCCAAAGACATTGGCTAGCGGTTACGCTATATCGTGAATTGGCAGAAGTTAGAATTCATGGGCCATTGGATCGGGTCCCAGAGGCTTAATGGTCTACGAACTAGCTCGCCTTGTAACCAGAAGGTCCTGAGTTCGAACCCTATGGTGTGGGTGCGTACTGATGAAGAGTCTCAAACTAGGCTAACGAAACCGCCGGTTAGTACTCCCAAGTTTACCAATGGTTCTCTAACCAATGTCAGCTCACGATAAAATCCTGTAACCAACCAACCAAATCCCTACAAACCAATACTTGAATGACTTTTTTATTGTTTGGTGAATCTGATCTGTACATTTTGCTAATAGGACTGGTGTCCATAGTTGTGTACATACACTAATGTAGGAGAATGAATATCACGTTCATAGATGCGACAGTCAGATATGTGACTAATAAAAGTGCTGAAGGTGGGAAGAGTAAAAGGCTTATTCAACAAGTGAATTAATGAGGAAAACCACTGTATTATATTCACTGACTAAACAGGATTCCTTACTACTCACGGAAACATTGTAGAGAATGTAATTACCACTATCAGTATTATACAATGACACATACGAAAGCTGTAAATATTCTTCATAGAAAGATTTACTAAAGCCTGAAGACGAAATAATTTATTGCAATAAAAACAAAACCTTTGGTTCATAAAGGCAATTGTCCTGAGTATCTTCGTGTTATGTTTGTATAAAACAAAGTTCTACTTTGCTCCGTCTATCTTTCTGCCTGTCTGTGCACCTGACTATCTGTCTATCTATCACTGAAATGTCTAATTCAAACTCGTCTGTTGAGAATAAAGAGAAGGTATAGACTGGAGGTTGTATGTGCCACATGGTACTGGTGTATCTTGTGATGCTAACTACATTTTATACGTAGTATATTGTATGCGAGAATATTGAATAGCGAGTCGATGGACTAAGTTATAGATATGAGAAATGAGAGATTCAATTGTATTCATTAAGAACTCTTACGTAATTTCGTATTCTCTACTTTGTTCCTATGTGTATCCTGAGTAAAACTCAATCATCAAACTATTCATATTATTACATAACTTCTTTTACCAACTGTTTGTGACAACTCATCACCTTTGTTATTACCCTAATTTCATTAACAACTAACTTTCTTGACTAATTTTGTATTACGTAACTCCAATTACCAATCTTCACCTGTTTGGTTAAAACAACTATAACCAATTGTATTTTTGTTTGATAAACTTAATGTACACATACATACAAAATAACACATATATATTTGCGATTGTACAGGTAAGAAAATGAATTTGCATCTGAAAGGAGACTCTTCGTTGATCTACGTGTTTTGTTTTCAATAATTTACTGTCAAATACTACTGTGGTCTGCCATCTCACTAGCCTATTAGAATCACTACCCAAAAATTAATCTGAATACAAGTTTACTCTCTCTTATAGTCATCTGATCCAAATTTTAAAGTGACAAACTGATATTCAAATTTTGTTTGAACTATTTGCGGATGTACTGCTTAGCAGTCCGCTCCATCCTCCTTTATGGCTGTAACATTTGGCCTTTGAGAGTGGAAGACATGAAAAGGCTAGCTGGTGTCTTTGATCATAGTCAGCTCGTCACTACTTTAGTTGATAGGCATCTGAACACAAGCGAAAAATGGTCAAAAACCATACTCTCCGACCCTCAACACCCCCTCTATCCCCAACTCTCTCCCTGTATCTCATCAAGCAAAACCAGAAATCAGTATAAAATAATCTATGCTCGTACAACCAAGTACAGAAACTCAACGACACCATACTTGGCTCGTGTTCTAAGCGACAGAGACAATGTTAAGCGTGAAACCTATGACTTGCTTTGTTATTAACAACATAATTTTAGGCTCTTTTATTTCTCTCTTATTTTGTATTCTTTAGTGAACTCCTTCTTCAAACATACTTAGCTACCCAAAATATTAACACTGGCTTCCTTTTTTGTACTTTACTATATTCCTTCTATTGTGTATCTACTGGTTCCGACTCTATTAGCACTATGAGTATTACAAAATTGTCCTTTCATTAACCATCATGTAATTATTAGTTTTGTGGCTGTTTTTTCTTATTTTTCTGTACTTTTCGGCAATATTAAACTGACAATGATTGGTTGTGAACGCCATAGTCACCACCTTAAAAAATTTTGTATTATTCAGGATTACTCACACTACCACCACAAACACTGCATTAGACCTTGGTAGACTTTGGTACTTTTTCGCATTTATAATTATTTTGTGTTTATCCTGTTTTTTTTTTGTTTTTTTTTTGCTGTTGATGTCTTCAGATTTATTTTTTTGTTTTGTTTAGTACTTATTTTAAATGTCGGTAAAATTAGGTGCAAATATTGTAGATATGTGCTGAAAATTCCACACTGTACCACTAGTACTGATTCTGGAATAAAGCAAATTATTATTATTATTATCATAGGTGTTTGCGTTCTATCTCCCATGTGAAGTGGTGTAAGCAATATTGAGGTTAGGCTCCAGTCGAGGACTAGGTAAGGGGGGATCAATAGACGAGGTTGTTGTGAAGTTACATCGACTGAGATGGTTAGGTCATGTGTTACGCATGCATGCCTAGCCATCGCCTCCCTCGGCAACGGGCGATGGTAGCTGACATAGGGTCAGGTTGGAGAAGAGCTAGTGGTGGTCAAACCAAAACATGGCTTCATCAGTCAATGAAATCCACAACAGTTAGTTTAAGCTAGTCACGTTGGGAAGTGTTGACTTCCTGACTGGCTGTGGTCCTCGGGAGAGTAAAACCCAATGGAGGCTGGAGATAATTGGTGATATGGCTCAAAATCATTCTCAATGTCTGGTGTAAATACATTCACTTCTTTTCACTTATAATACCCAATGAGACTATATTGTTCTTCGTTATTATTATTCCTTTTGCCTCATATCCCTGTTTACTGTCTCTATTTTGCATTTCTTCTGCTTTCTTCTCTTGCTCTGTGTGCTACATGGAGGAAGTGTGGCGACTTGAACTGCTGGACATCTGTGACTAGTTCTTTTTTGAAAACCGACAGACAGATAAACAGACAGTCAAATTTTGTTCATCGTCTTATGACTAGTATCCAAAAAGGACACATTTCTCCTATAAGGCCTAAAGAATTACTAAAATAAGAGAAAGATCTCTTTGATTATTGCTATCAGTACTATTCCGAAAAAGAATGTGGAGAAAAAAAAAGAATACAGTTACAGAACTCAAACATGAAGTTTCAAGGTGTCTGACCACATAACATTGGCTAACTTGGCTTAGCCAAAGCAAAGGAAGCAATCCATTACTGCTTAACCTCATCAGTCGATTAAGTTTCATTTTATGCTCATCAAATAAATAAATACGCATGTAATTTCAACTGAGAAATAATATTAAATAGTTTTCTTTTTCTTTAGGAAAACCTCCAGGTTGTTTAAATACAACAAAAATGTGTTGTCATCTGGGAACTCGTGAACCAACTGATCCATGGTTTTCATTAGACCATCTAGTAATGAGAGATACTGGAAGTAAGCCGAAGTTATCCACGACGTAAGTCACTTTTCAAAACCCGAAAATCACATTCTAACTTTTTATTAAAAATTTTTATTCCCTTGGGTTCTTAGTAGGATATATGGCTTCACTAGAACACGTCCATTTAACTCCATTTCTTTTTCAGATGATATTTTCTATGTCTCACCCTACTAGTCGATTCTCATTTGCCTTCCATTGGAGTGCATGCCTGGTACATGATGTCTTCTCAACATATTTACAGTCCATTTCAATTTTTCTCCTGAAAATTCATTTGGTGATAGGTTGTTAGTTAGTTTGTTTCCCGTGTTATTTTCTTGTTGTTTATCCATTCTGACCGGCCATCTGACCTTCAGTATCGAGAGAAGATAACTCTTGATGAAAGTCCTCAAAAGATTGTTTGAAGTGCTTTTCGTGATGCGCCAAGACTCTGAAAAATATGCAAGAACTGACTGCACATTAGTGCTGAAAATCCGATTTTTGTTCTTCATGTTGAGTGATGAAGGTCTCGCTTTCTTTCCCGATTGTGTTTTTGAAATCTTCATCTGCCCCGTCTGTATTTGAAACGATATTGTCTAGATAAGTCAAAGAGGTGAGTTCCTTAAAATGGCCTCTCTCACTGATGGTGATCATTTAGATATGATGGAGAAGATTTATCGCTCAGGTGGATGATTTTGATGTGGTTGTGTTCTCTGAGCTGGGTAGTTAATTTGCGAAGCTTTCATCGCCCTACTAGGCGACACCTTCAGCGCATACTTCAATTTGAAGTGAGCTTTTAGATTTCTCCACGAGTTTATTAATCATCTCTCATGGCGACCTTGGAAGTGATTGGTTGTTTTTGTGTGTTTTCACACCTTCTAGGCTACTCGTAATGCAACTGATTGTTTCTTTGACTTGAACTTTGACCCTTTGTGTGTGAGATTTCCTTCTTATCGATTGGTAAATTTTGTCTATCTCGATGTGTCTATTGATCGATGATTCACTGGAATGCCAAGCTTCTAAAAATTCCCTAACATTCTTGTTGTTTCCTCTGTCTAATATCTGAACATTGTTCCAGTCGAATTGATGTCCGTGGTTGTCTGTTTGTAGTGATATGAGGGAGCAGATGTCATGTCTTTTGACGGCTAGCTTATGTTCGTGGATACGAAGACAAAGAGGACGTCCACTTTGGCCAATGGAGATAGAAAAAATTTATCAACCGATAAAAAAGAGACCTCACACACAAAGGGTCAAAGTTCAAGTCAAAGAAACAATCAGTTGCATTACGAGTAGCCTAGAAGGTGTGAAAACACACAAAAACAACCAATCACTTCCAAGGTCGCCATGAGAGATGATTAATAAACTCGTGGAGAAATCTAAAAGCTCACTTCAAATTGAAGTATGCGCTGAAGGTGTCGCCTAGTAGGGCGATGAAAGCTTCGATAATTAACTATCCAGCTCAGAGAACACAACCACATCAAAAGATGGTGATTATTGTTAGTTAGGTGTCTTCATCACCTGAAGTATTGTCTTCTCTGGTACTTCTGCTAACGTGCTGGTTTTCACCTGCAGATGCTTCAGTTTGTGTAACCTAAATCATTTATGAACTTCACAACTTCTAGAGTCTTTTTCCGGTCCGAAGTATGCCCGTCTTTTCGATCCCCATGGTATTTTGCAGTGTGAGTGACAACCGAATCCTTTTTTCAACTACCACTGACAAGAAAAACGACATAAAATCAAAATTGAAGATGTCATTGAGGCATTTATCTAAAAGATCAAATCTGCATCAATTAGGTACTGCTACACAATTGTCTGCAAATTACAAATGTGAGTAAATATTTGTCCTTTTTTATTCTTTTACGTTCCCAGTAGAACATAGGGCTTCAGGCTAGAGGTGTGAAGTTTCAGTAGCAGTGGTGTTCAGTTTTACGAGATGGGGTTGCTAGCCTCATACCCCCCAACCTTCCCTCTTTATCAGTCGTATTTCTGGCTTAGTGGAGTAAAGGAGTGCATCGGTCGGGGGTCAAAACTAGGACCACATGAGGCGTGGTTGGCGAGCATTCTACCACTGCGCCAACGACGCACAATATTTGTTTTGGTTGAAACTATATTCAAACAACTTGGAACCGAAAGACTGATTGTTATGACATGGATGATGATTGGAGCTGGAATGAAAATCTGGATGGTGGAAGAATTTTGGCTGTTTATTTCCGGATTATTAATTAACCTGACTGTCTCTACTGCATAAATCACAAGCCATTGATGCATGATTGTGCCTTTTCACCATCTCACATTAGCTGACCAGTTTGATTCTTTCATACTGTTGTTAGTTATAATCTCCTACTAAACATTAAAATTCAATACCCTCCTTCTAATTCAAGGTTCATTATGAGACTCAGTAGGTTCCTCGAGATTCTGGGAAGCAGTTGTTGACGATTTAATGCTGACGATGCTGAAAACCACTCCGGACGGTGTAAACGTATATACTATTTACCATTTTCGAAATTTTGAATGTTCTTGCCAGTTTCGGTTAAATTATTTGCATTGTCACAGTATGCCTGCAAGTTTCTTTCCTGTGTACCTTTTAAGGCGTACAAAATCCTGACATGGTTCTAAGTTCATTCACTTGTCTATTTATCAGATTACAATTACAGAAATGAGAAGAGAAATCTCAATGATGTAATAAGATTTCTTTTGATGTTTTAATGTTTAGTCAGATTCGATCTACTCAGTCTTGATCAGCCCATTAATATTTTGTGTATGTATGCTTGTTCAGGCTTAAAGTAGGCTGGGCAGCACTGTTAACTAACACTGTAACAACAGAAGACAAGGGCCAGGCAACAGATCGTTTATTAAGGAAAATCAACACGTATTTATAGATTTTAATGTACATTATTGTAGATTATTGTTAGTATAAAATACAGTCTTTTGATTGGTTGTTTCTCACAGAAAGTTAACCCTGCATCTCTTTGTGGATGTGTCAGATCATCCATATGCTAACTGTATCCGCCTACGCAAAGCCTTTGTTCTCATTTTCTCACCACCAATATTGGGGACATAAACATTAACGTCAATTACTGTCTACCAACTTTGGCTAGCAGCCAGCTCCCACCACAACACTATATGAAGACTTAACTCTAGTAACAGTATTGTTTGCCATATCCAACCCTGAAAAAAACACATCTCAGTTTCCGTTTTGATACAAATGGAAGTTAGAAAGAAGAGAACACGAAGTTCAACAAAGATATCTACCTCTTCGGCGATTTCATTTTCAATACATAATTTTACACAGTTACAATTCTTATTTGATTCCACATAATTACGAAGGCGAATAAAAGGTGAGATGCACGCTGAATGTACAATTTACCTTCAACGGTGACATCTACAGACAGAAAGACGGAATTGCAATGGGATCTCCTCTTGGCCCGCTTTTAGCAGACTGCTTTATCGCCAGTTTGGTAAGTGGAGTTTTAAAATCAGCAATAAACAAATTACTACTGTACAAAAGGGACGTTGATGATACATTTATAGTCTGCTAAGATAACTCGGAATTCAGTTGCATCTTACAAGAATTTAATAATTCCCATCCTTCGATAAAATCCACAATGGAATTAGAAAACGATTCAAAGATTCCATTCCTGCAAGTGGAATTAACAAGAAGAGATGATGGAACCCTGAAGAGATCCATCCACAGAAAACCAACATGGAACGGCCAACTAAAGCATTTCTATAGTTGGATACCTTTGAGCCGAAAACGAGCTTTCATCATCTCACTAACCCATTGCATTGGAAAAATCTGCAGCAGCGACTGCTTGGAAGAGGAGCTCCTATTCCTCAAAAATATCCTGGCTCAAAATGGTTACCCGACACGTTTTTTCGACAAGAACATGAAGCTTAAACCAAAAAGAAGAGAATGCGATTCAGCGCCGAAGAAAACTCTGTACATGAATCTGAATTTCAGAGGAGATTTGACAGCTGATATCCTAAAGAGGAGAATATCCAGCTCTTTAAAGAAGACTTCCCCTGCAGCAGCACTAAGAGTGACATTATCTAGCATCCCAATACTTTGAAACAACACGAAGGACAAACTCTCGCATATGACCAATTCAGTGTGCATACACCAGTTCAACTGCTGGTACGAAGCTAGATACATACGTCGTTGTATTCGCGTCCTTTCAAAATGTGTTAGAGAACATTACCCAGCGTGGCTGCAAAGAGGAGGCACCGGTTAAATCAGAAGTGCCATTATGAAAACATCTGATCAACACCTCTCACAACACCTCAACTAATTCATTCAAAGTAATTTGCAAAGTCAACAGAAACCTACCAAAAGCAGTATGTTTCTGACGTCTCTGTACTGCAAAAGCCGTCGCAATATGCATCGAAAAGCCGGAGCTGTGTGTTTAAAAGAAATTAGTCCAGCCTCTACAACTACTGTGTACCTAGTTCGGTATGTTCCCTTAGCTTCCGTTCTTTTGTTTTCTTTCGTTCTTTTTTGACCTTTTTTTCCTACTCTCTCTGTCTTCATTCAATTCACCCCACTTTTTCAGTTATAAAAAGTTATTTTAAGTTTGTTTCTGTGCTTTTCCTGCTCACACTAATTATATCGTAATCCCGTGTAAATTTTGTTTCTAAGCCTCTCGTAAACCATATCTGGTTGAAAATAATTTTCACCTTTTATTTACCTCCTTAATTATGTGGAATCAAATAAGAATTGTATCTGTGTAAAATTATGTATTTAAATGCGATTGTACAGCTTTTGAAAATGACATCGCCGAAGAGGTAGATATCTTTGCTGAACTTCGTGTTCTCTTCTTTCTAATGTCCTTATGGGTGTTTCCCACAAATGGATATGACGTAGAGGAATCACTGAAAGTCATGGACCAGCCTTACTTAATTAGACCTCTTCAGCAGTGTGGATCAATTATCCGACGAAAAAGGAAACACAGCACTTCCAGGTTACAAGACGAGTAGGACTGTATTCGTATGAATGTCCACTCCTGTTAGTTTGTGAAACATTCTCATTGTCGGTGGCACAGTGGTTAG